ACTTATGACCATTTTTCACACTTAAGACCATTGCAACATCCCCATGATCACATAATCAAAATTCAGACACTTGGTACCTGGCATGTATTTATGATAACTGCAGTGTCCTGAGGCATGTGATCACCTTTTGTGACCTGACAAGCCAAGTCAATGGGAAAATCGGATTCACTTAACAACCGTGTTACTAACTTAACAACTGCCGTGATTCACTTAACCATAAAAACAGAGGTTGCAAAATGGGGCAAAATTCACTGAGCAAATATCTTGCAATGGAAATTTTGGGATCAATTGTGGTTGTAAGTTAAGGACTACCTGTACAGAGCTGGGTAATTATTTATTGCTTTTTATGTGATCCTCTGAATTTCTAGATTCTAGGATCAACCTTACCTTTTCACCTTGCTCTCGGGAAACCTGCCGCTTGTGGGTTATGTCACACTTATTTCCAAGGATCATTTTTTCTACATCTGGAGATGCATGCTAAGAGAAAGAAAATACAACTAGTTTATGATATTATCACAACATAATTGGCATGTATGTATTATTCCTCCCTTGATGCTTAAGGAAAAATTGCTAATATGGACAACTTCTTTGTCATCAAATTTTATAAAATCCTAAAGTTATAAGAGATTTTAAAGGCCAACTACTTCATCTCTTTGTTTCATGTACTCATTTTATCCATGCCACAAAAGAAATCTAGCTATAGGGAATGTTGTCACTATCAGACCTAGACTTCTCACAGAATGTGGTGCTGTGCTAAATAAGAATGAAATTTTATTTAGACTGCAAAATATTAATAATATTCCACAGCGCAACTTTCTGCAGCAATCAAACAGACATCATTAGGCTAAAAGTTTAGGAAGAAATAGAAAGCTGCCCTATGGAAAGAAAGATTGTATATTCATCTAGCTTTCAATAACCTTGCGATATTCAGATTATCTTAGAATCACATCTCCAAAATTCCAAACCAACTACTGGTTCTACTGATTTAAGTTTTAGACTTTGTAATCTCAACACCCTTGAAAGTCATCAGGTCACCAAAATCTATTTAGGAGGATTGTCTACTCAGAGCAATGACTGCTCTTGAGGGTCTTAGAAAAACATAGACTTTTCCCATTAGCTTTAATCTATCCTCTTATCTGTCAATGAAAGTAGAGCCTTGAACAATATGCTGTCAAGTATAAACTTTACTTCTTAAGTGTTAGTATCTCCCAAATATCAGGAGACAAATACAGGGTTTTCCCCCCTACACTTTGACCTGTGAGAAATAACCCAAATCTGACACTTAAAAAAACAACAGGTTTTATACATTTTAATAAAGAAAACATACCTCTTCAATGTTTCTGACCCAGTTCTGAATATTTTCAAAAGATTTCTCATTGGTAATATCATACACTAGCATGATGCCCTAAAGAATGAGACAGAAAAGTAGACTGTTGCTTCTTTAATTTTATAGGGACTTGACAATGTAAATGTAAACAAGATAACTGATATAACTTAGCTGATAGCATTGAGAAAGGTTTTCCAAGGAACAGTTTGGTGGAAAAAAGCAGGAGACTGATCTGACTAGTGATGATGGGGGCGAGGGAGGGTAGGCAGATGAGAATTGTGTGGAAAGCATTCAAAACTCTGAGATTTAAATCTGATGTAAAAGAGAATAGGGAATCAGTTTTGAAACATAAAAAAGGAAAGAAATGACAGTATGGTAAGGAAATAAAGTAAGTTAAACACTAAGCATTTAGAAAAGATGGAAGAAAAGCAATAAGCAACAAAAAACAGCAAGCTTATATATAAAAGCGTTAACATTGACTACAGCCAAATTCTTACTGAAGGAACATCTTAACACAGTGGTTCTCAACCTGTGGTCTGCAGAAACCTGGGGTGCCTGTGATGTTATCACAGGAAGTCCTCTAATCCTTGAAGAAATATTATGATTTAAATCTTAAGTTGTAGAGGGCCATGGCCATGGTCTGTGGCCACAAAAGGTATTTAAAAGGGATTTGTGGTCAAGGAAAGGTTGAGAACCACTATCTTAACAGATTGGAAGAGACTTTGAGGGACCCTATCTAGTGTTAATGCTCATCAGTACTTTAGAGAATTGAACTTACCATTGCTCCTCTATAATAAGCAGTTGTAATTGTCCGGAACCGTTCTTGCCCAGCTGTGTCCCTAGAAGAATAAGACAAAATGTTGTTTCAAGGGATTTTATAAATAATACTACTTTTACATTACACCACTATTTAATAAATCTTTAATAGCAATAGCACTTAAACCTATATACCACTTCAGTGTTTTACAGCCCTCTCTAAGGAGTTTACAGAGTCAGCATATTGCCCCCAACAATCTGGGTCCTCATTTTACTGACCTCGGAAGAATGGAAGGCTGAGTCAACCTTAATGTCAGAAAGTAGAAGAGAGATTTCTGCTCCATCTTTATCATAGCTTATCATTCAGCTCCAGTGTTCTTAGATGAAGGGCAAAGTGGAAAAGGGATAGTATTTGGTCCATTGGATTTTCTGCTCACTTATGATCCTTGTACGAAGAAGAGGCAGACCTCTCCACCATAGAAGAGGTATAAGTACAAGGGAACCAGTAAATTAATGAACAATAGGGTAGGTGGTGACAATGCTAAAAAAGTTACTTATGACTGTTCTTTGCACTTATGACTATTGCAGCATCCCTGCAGTCATATGACCAAAATTTGGATGCTGGGCAACTGGAATGTATTTACAACTGTTGCAGCATCCCAAGATCACATGTTTGCCATTTGCAATCTTCCCAGCTAGCTTCTGACAACCAAAGTCAAGTGGGAGAAGCTGGATTCACTTATCAACCATGTAACAACCATGGTGATTTGTTTAACCGTGTAACAACCATGGCATAAAGCTCATAAAATCAGGCATGACTCACATAACACCTGCTTGCTTAGCAATGCAAATTCTGGTCCCAATTGTGGTTGATAAGTCAAGGACTACCTGTTATGTAAAACAGCTGATTGGCTCATCCAGGACTCCTTTTGATTGTTCAGTTTTGGCTAGATCCATGGTGTTAACAGAAAGCATACAGTAAAATATTTGTAATATGAGTATTTGATGATAAAGATGAGACAACTATGAAACAATGTCTAGCCAAAAACAACAATCAGAAGGCAAATGGATCAGATTGCTCCAATTCTATGAGGTACCTACTACTTTAATTTGCCTTTGACTTTTTCTTGGCAGGTTCAAATCAGTCTACTGCTATTTGTTTTTTACTTCCTAATAATAATATTGAGCTTATATGAAATCAAAGATATTATATGTAAAAATAATGGTTAAAATTTGGCATTTGGTTTGAAGCACTTTCCCCCAATATTGGTGTTCAACTGTATTGTAGGCTCACCACATTTATATTATATTTTGATACAACAAAATTGGTAGCCTCTGAGATGTCCCCTACCATATTTGCAGCTTAATTTTCTTGCCATCGAGTTCAATCGTCCTGATTTTGAAATCAATACCTACAAAAGAAGATTTAGAAACATATTATAACATTTTTTACTTTTTAAGGAATCAAAGTATCTTATTGTTCTTTTTTACAGATGAGGATGATGGACAATGCAGTTTCTTTGGATTTTTAGTTATTCATATACCTTTGTATATTACCCTTTCTCAGAATAACTCATTCACCTACTTGTCCACAAAATAATCATAGAAAATTAAGAGAAACTCTGGTGTAGTAGATCAACATCTCATCTGCAAAAAAATTAAAAACAGGAGCTCCAATATTGCTGTTTAATCACTGTTAAGGGATGCTGCCAAGCCATCAAAAGTACTACCACTTGACAGCCCTTACATAAATTTCTTCAGTCATCTCATAAAGCCATAGCCTCATCTGACAGCAGCAAATTCCAGTTTAATTAACTATGTTGTCACCTATTCAGTGATTGGTTGGGATATTGATTAGTGAATGATTTGAAAGCAGGATTTCTCTGATCTAATCTAGCATTATATCTATCATAATCCCACTGCTGTTTTGGTTTTTTGTTTTGTTTCGTTTTTCACTGCTATTCCTTTCTCCTTTCTTTTCTCTCCTTCCTCTAAAACCAGCGAAGGTAGATTACAATTTTTCACTAATTTTCTGCCTGGAAAAGTGGCTTCAACTTTTATTAACAAGTCTTTTAAAAATAATTCACTACATTTTTGTTTCCTTCGCCAAATTACAAGGACGGAGGGCCTTTCTCCCATCTCAGCTACCCTCACAATCACCCTGAGATAGCCGAACTCAGACAATTTGGGCCGTTGGTGTGGGGACTTCAACCCAGATCACCCTGCTAGTTCATTCCACACGACACCCGTTCCCTCCTTCATCTCCGCAACGTCTCAGAGGGGACGCCGCCTCTCGCCGCTCCCAAGTCTGAACAGCGGCCCGCTTCGCACCCGGGCCCCTCTCTGGAGCTACAGGAGAAGGGAGGGGGCGGTTTCCATAGTAACGCCGACCGGAAGGGGTTGAGGTCGCGAGGGAGCAAGGAGTTGTCATAGCGACAGTGGCGGTAGGTGGGAATGCTCCCGTTGCCAGGCGGTGACGCACCGATTGTGGAGATGAAAGTGGCGTTGAAAGCGTCCTCGCTGAAGCGGAAGAGCGCGCACGTCTTGCCCACGCCGGAATCGCCGATCAGCAGCAGCTTGAAGAGGTAGTCGTAGGTCTTCGCCATGTTCTTCGACCCGGCGGCTCTATGGGGTTTGCTACCGGCCAGTAAAGCTGTCCATCTTCATAACGATGGAATTTCATTGGTTACTGTGACTGAAATGTCATCAGGTGTCCTCCCTCCCTAGATTATAGCCGGAAAAATTGGACTGAAAATCTCATTGGTCAATTGACGGTCTTGACGACAGCGGGGGTCTGCCATTGGCTAATATGTCCCCACGGGCCGGCGGGCTCTAGCATTGGCTGGACGGATGTACGTTCGTTATCATAGAGTTATATCTTGTAGGGAATTTTAGCGGTATAAGCATTCTGGGTCAATTACAGCATTCTTGTGGGCTGGATGCCGCTCTAGGCACACCCCGCTCTAGGCACACAATTTTACAACGGAAGTGCAAGTGAAGCGGATGTGAGCTCGCGAGGCTTTTGGGCGTATCGAGAAGCGTTGGGTTCGGGGGCACCGGGGCTTCTCGTGTGCGGGCTGCTGGAGGACCGCCGTCATGTCGGCTAGCGCTGTCTATGTATTGGATCTCAAGGGCAAGGTGTGTAGAGAGGGATGAGTCTTCTGCAAAACTTCCAGCTGCAGGGGCAGTCTACCAGCTGTAAAGTGTAAATAAATAAATGCTTTCAGAGAGGTAGCTACTTTATTTTGTTAGATGAAAAAACAGTTATGGGTATTATAAATAGGAAAGGCTAAGTAAGGTGTCAAGTTTTTGCTTTGCGAGAAACATGGAAAGGTAATTCTGATTTTAAATAGAATATCCAGGGAAGGGATTAAACAGGGAGCGATGCCAGAAAGTCACCATGTGTCCACATTTCTTTCTTGTTCTGTTCTCTCCCTCACTAAATCACTCCAGCATTGAATGTCAGAAATCATTGATCTACGATTGAGAGAAGGGAGAAAGGTGAAATAAGTCACAAGTTGAATCTGTTTAATATTATTATTGTTTATATAATTGTATTTTGCTCTTGAGTAAAAGGGAATTGTTGGGAGGATACAGTATGTGTTTCTCCTTGGGATTAAATTTAGAGTCATACCACTAGTGGCCCAATTAAATGAGCTTCTAGCTCTTACACTTCCTACTTGGCCAGTAGCAAACAGGCCAATTAAAAGCTAGAGCAGGGGTAGTCAACCTTGGCTCTTTTATGACTCGTGGACTTCAACTCCCAGAATTCCTGAGCCAGCACAACTGGCTCAGGAATTCTGGGAGTTGAAGTCCACGAGTCATAAAAGAGCCAAGGTTGACTACCCCTGAGCTAGAGGGTTGGTTAGTATCAAGAATAAGTGAGGTTCTGGTACTGTAACTTATTACTGAAAAGTGGTTTCTTTTGTAATACATACAAACTTGTTTGAAGCAACGTTTATAAATTTTACTGTTTCAAAAACTGCTAATAGTGTCCTTACTATTTTAGGTTCTTATCTGTAGAAATTACCGTGGAGATGTGGATATGTCAGAGGTAGAGCATTTTATGCCTATTCTTATGGAGAAGGAAGAAGAAGGGACTCTCTCACCTATTCTGGCTCACGGAGGTGTTCGCTTCATGTGGATTAAACACAACAATTTATACTGTATCTTTTGCCAAAATAAGGGTTATTGAGCTGCAACCTTGATCTAGGATTCCAGATACTGAAAAAAGCAATTTTTAAGGAATCTCTTTAACCAAACTTTCCACTTCAAACTTAATTTTTAAAAAAGGCTCAAGTTAATAACTAAGTCAAAAGAAAGGCAACCAATTTCCCTCTTTATTCACATGCTAATCTGTACTTTGTTCTCATAAACATTTTACTTATTTATTATTTATCTCCAAGAAATGCTTTCAGGCTTAAAAAAGTGGCGGTCTAGATGATAGCAGAGAGCAGCTGATCAGGTCTGAATTCACTAAATCTGGTCAGGAAAAAGAAAAATAATTACACCAACTTTTAAATTTCAGAATTAAATTTCAAAAATCCTACTCAGGCAGAAAATTTCCTACTGCTGCATCTTTGATAAATTGTCATCCATTTACTTCTGTTCTAGTGAAGCAAAGTTAACTGCCTTCTGTTGTTGAACATTTCATGCTATGAAGAGAACATGAAAATCAGTTCTAAAGATCTGTCTTCAATACACTCTGACTTTTCAATGGCCAGTCAAATATAAATGAGAAGCATAGTATCAGGAAATCCATATTAATGTCAAATTTTCTCTATATTTTGAATTTATTAGCATTGACCCTCCTTTAAAAACATTTTCCTATGTGACAATCTTTTAGATAGTCGAAGACTGATTTCACATTGTTTTAATTGTCTCCAGGCTAAACATATGCAGCTTCATGTTTAGCCTGGTATCCATCTGGATCCAGCCTCTTAGTATTTTTTTCCTTTCTTTAGTCTCATTTCAATTTATTAATACTTTTCTTAAAATACAGAGCCTGGAATTGGGCATAGTATTGGTCTGTCCAAAAGAATAGAGTATGCCTCTTTCCCATTATCTAGACACAATACTTTCATTGATTTTGCTTAGAAAGACATCAGTGAAGTTCTGAATCATTGCATTTCTGGTTTTCTAAAGTTAGGATATGTATTATAATTTTTTTGATACAAGTTAATAGTTTGCAGGAAATTAAATAGGATGTTCATTGAAAAAGAAGCTAGTAAAATTTAAAATATAAAGAGGAATAGCTTGGAAATACGAATATTTATAAACTCCTGAATATGCTATCCCAGTGGTTGCCACTTCAAAGAAGAATGCCTGTGTATCTCTTGTGTTCTCATTTCTATACAAGGTAGTTCAGGTGAGTGTGGCATTGATTCTGTTATTAAAATTCTGAGATTTCATTTGGGGTTTATTCTCTAAAGTGTCTAATATTTGACTATTAAATTACTGGAGTAGAAAAATATACATTGAATGCATTCACCCTTGCCCCCAACCCTTGTAGTAGTTGACATTTAAAAATTGAGAAATCATTGTGATTACATTAACAGCTTTTATTTTAAAAATGATAGCAAAATTGGAATATTACTGTGTGGGCATATTGCATTGTTTTCTTTTACCTTTTTATTTCAGGTCTTTTCTGAATATTTTAAGGAATTGGAAGAAGAGAGCATTCGGGATAATTTTGTGATCATTTATGAACTGCTAGATGAATTGATGGACTTTGGATATCCCCAAACTACAGACAGTAAAATTTTACAAGAGTAAGTATGTGGCTTGGAGCTAAAAACTTGCATTTTCTGTATATTTAATAATCCCGATTCAGGATGTCTAAAACTGTTTTTTATTTAATTGGTGTAATTCTAATTTAAATAAATCTCTAGGGCTAAAATATGCAGATACTCGCATTTTGAACATCTTGCCTGTGATGCTATAGATACATAACACAAGAAGGCCACAAGCTGGAAACTGGAGCCCCACGCCCTCCTGCCACTGTTACAAATGCCGTGTCTTGGCGTTCTGAAGGGATCAAGTACCGAAAGAATGAAGTCTTCCTGGATGTCATAGAATCTGTTAATCTTTTGGTAGGTCTATGATTATATATCATTAATACTGAACGATGTATTTTAACTGCTACTCTAAAGGCAAGAAGAATGGGGTGCGTGTGTGGGGGGGGGAGAGAGAGAGAAAAAAAAAAGAGAGAGAGAGAGAGAGAGAGAGAGAACGCTATCTGAAAATGGGAGCATCTTCAAAAGAGCCACTCTAGATCTTATGGTCCAGACAGATTTATTATTCTACTGTTTTGGCCTGTCGGCAGCTTTTCAAGATCTTTGGAATTTCTTTTCCCAGCCCAGAATCGCTCCGTGTTTAAACAAGAGCTGATTTCTAATCACTGTCCTGGAGTTCAAGCTTCAGAAAGGTCCAGCAAAATTCTTTGAGTCTGTTTAATTTTAATGATTATGTTAGTGGGATGAAACACTGAAAACTTAAAAGAGATTGACAGAGAGAATCTCATTTATATAGAGACTCAAAAATCTATTCAGGTTCCTTTTATTTGCTTTTTAACAGATCTTAATAAAATAAAAGGAACTTAAATTGTTTTTTGAGTATATAATTAAGATAGTATTGATGGCAAATAGTCCACCGGGCCTTGCTTAGATACCTCCAATAAAAATGATTCCATCCATCCAGGCAATTTGTTCCTCTGTCTAAACCTTTACTGTCTAGGACAGGGATAGGCAACCTTGGCTCTTTTATGATTCGTGGACTTCAACTCCCAGAATTCCTGAGCCAGCCAGGAATTCTGGGAGTTGAAGTCCATGAGTCATAAAAGAGCCAAGGTTTCCTACCCTTGGTAGGAGCTCAGTGACTCACATGGTTAGGACTCTGGATTGGAGGTTAGCAAGCCTGTGTTCGACACCTGAGTGCTGCTGTGGGGTGAAGTGAGCTCCAGTCCTTCACTCCAGGTCCTGTGGGGACATGAAAGAAGCCCCCAACTAGGCACCTCTTGGGGCAATGGTGATGGCACCAGCTAATCCTTTCAACCCGGAAACATCGCAGTGCTTCTTACACAAGTGTGATGAGAATTTTTTTTGTATTCCTGCATGGAGATATAGAATACAAACCCATTCCATCTTTTGAGTGCTACCGATTTTGATCCCTTTAGCAGAAGGAGCTGTTTGAAGAAGCACTACAGAGTCTCCAGCAGTGCTGGACTTTTCCTTTGCTAGATGTATTTAGTTTGAAAACTCATAAATATGATCAGCAAAGGCTTTAATTCTATTTCATATGTACTGTTGGAAAACCAGATGCCTTGTATTCTCCGCTTGTGTTAACATTTATTAAAGCAGGCCACCTCCCATTTCGAACCAGGCCATATGTGCAGCTCCACTTGTGCAAACGGTATGCATATGAGCGTGGACATCTGCCGCTTGCGTGGAACCATCCCCTTCCCCCGCCCCCAGCCACCAGCAGTCTGCAAAGCCAGAAAGGTTGGGATCTGTTGCTATAAAGTATCACTTTACATTGATCACCACCGAATTTCATCTTGTTAGTTTTGCCTTAGTGTTTTGAAATGTGGACACGCCCCTCCCCACCCTTCAATTTCAGGTTAGTGCCAATGGGAATGTTCTGCGCAGTGAAATTGTTGGATCCATCAAAATGAGGGTTTTCTTGTCTGGAATGCCAGAGCTTCGCCTTGGCTTGAATGACAAAGTCCTCTTTGATAATACTGGCCGTGAGTATGTCTGCTTCTTCCAGGTTACCTGCTTACCTCTTTGCTTCCCTGTCCTTGCAACCTAATTTTAAAGAATTGTACCTGTGGAAGGGGGGGTGGTAGTTTAAAAGACATAATAAACGCTTGAGGATGTTGCAAGGCTTAAAATACCCATCTTGCCCTTTAAACTTTTTTTTTTAAAGTGCTGAACTGTGGCTGTTCTTGTGCCATGGATTGCTGGGAGAGTGATTGGAAGCTGAAAATTGGGTGCTGCGGAGCTGCATGTGAACTGCTAACCCATCGTATTGAATAGCTAATGACTCATTACTAGAGTCATTTTACTAGAAAGGATCTTATGAAAGAATCCCTTTGAACTCCTCTGTGCTAATTGGAATTCTTCCAGAAACATTTTGTCTTAACCAGTTTAATTCTGTCCTCCTGTCAGTTTCTTCATTATGAAACTTAGAGAGAGATTCTCAAAATTTGCACTACCATGACCTCTTAAAATGATGAATTCATTTATGAGTAAAATAAAATAAAGCTGCTGTGGTTTTGGTTTTGATATACTACTCAATTAGCCATCCCTCAAAACTAGCTTGAGGCTTTTTCTCTGCTTTGCCTGGTGAAATCACCTGAGGACATTGCCAAGCACAAGAGGAGTGAGTTTTGACACCACGCCTGCTTTGCTTGCTCAACAAATCTACCACCATCGTTTAAGTTGGTCATCAATCCCAGTATGAGAATCCCTGGCTTAGAGGGGCAGGCTTAGGAACAGCATGTATAAATTCTGTTTTTTACTGTGATGTATCTATCTGTCTTCTGCATGGGGTTTGTACAGGAGTACTCCTATGACCTGGGATTCTCTGCACTTGATTTATGCATGCCTTTATTTTCTCTTCTTATAGCTGAAATTGCTATTCTTTAGGACAGGGGTCTCCAAACTTGGTTTGGCACCAAGTACAGCTGGCTGAGGAATTCTGGGAGTTGAAGTCCACAAGTCTTAAAGTTGCCAGGTTTGGAAACCCCTGCTTTAGGAAATTGGCCTAAAGTGATCTCAGCAGACCTACTTCTATAGCTTCCCTTTATTGCTGTTACACTTTTCAAGCCCGGGCCTTCTCTTCTATCCCTGACAGGCGGCAAGAGCAAATCTGTGGAACTGGAAGATGTGAAATTCCACCAGTGTGTTCGTCTCTCTCGTTTTGAAAATGATAGGACTATTTCATTTATCCCACCCGATGGGGAATTTGAGCTCATGTCCTATCGTCTTAATACCCATGTACGTGTGTTTTAATCTTGGGTTACAAACAGAATCGTTCCCCCCCCTTTTTTGGGGGGGGGGCTCTTTCTTTTTAAGAGTTTGTGGCTTTAATTCTCCATTTAGACCATCACATGATGATATCTGTGAAATACCTGGTGGGTGAAATGGGTGGAATCAATCAATTGCTGCATGTTGGATTGCTGCTATGTATATGATACTAATGAAGGTGAAATGATCCCAGACAGAAAGCGCTGCAGCATTGGGTTGCTTGTAGACCAGTCAAGAGCCAAGTTGTACTGTGGGATCGGTAGTGATCAGTGTCTTGGATCCTCTGTGTGGGGCTTTCCTTTTCTCTAGAAATAAAGGAGAAACTGATGAATCCTCTGGTGCTTGGGGAGCCAGTGATGCAATAACAGTTTATCTTGTCATCTGCAGGTAAAACCTCTAATCTGGATTGAGTCAGTTATAGAGAAACATTCCCATAGTCGCATAGAGTACATGATCAAGGTGAGTGGAATCCAGAAAACTCTGTTGGCCCTTTGTGGTCCATTGTGCAAAGCAGTTCTGTTCTCAAAGGTTCTAGAGAAAAGGTAGCAGGCTGTTAAAAGCATCTTGGAGGCCAGGGAGGGCTGCACATGGAGTAAAATCTCAAAGGGCTCCAGTGTCCATTCCTTGCTATGTTTTCCTATTGAACATTCCATAAATATTGAGAATACCTGGTTGTTAAGGAAAGATGAGGAAGCACGGGCTGCGTGTGGCCTTGGAGCATACTTTGCATCATTAAATTACGATGGTGCATTTTTTAAAAAAAATCTAATAAAAATGATTGAAAGAACAAGCCTAACATTTCTATCCTTGTCTTTTTTGTTGAAAAAGAGGCCAGGAAAAGATTGATTCTTAGCCAATAAAATAACACCCATTTTATTCAAACTAAGCAAGCCTTTTGGAACAGTACTTGTGGAGAAAAAGACACTAGAAAGAAATTAAAAATTATACTTTGCAAATTTCTCAGTTTATTCGGGATTGTATTTTCTATAGCAATTTTAAAACCTTTTTAGGCCAAGAGTCAATTCAAGCGCAGATCTACAGCCAATAACGTGGAGATTCACATTCCTGTTCCCAATGATGCCGATTCACCAAAGTTCAAAACCACAGTTGGGAATGTCAAGTGGGTTCCTGAGAACAGTGCCATTGTGTGGTCCATCAAGTCTTTTCCAGTAAGCTCATTGATTGTGAACATCTCTGGGAGAGAGGCCAAAAAAAAAACAACCCTCTATCCATTTTATTTCCAAAGGATCTTTGCGTAGACAGTTCTTCCCTAACTGTTCAGAGCAAGTTTCATTAGCTCATTTCAAAAGAACTTTGCCCTGTCCAGCATGGTTTAGTTCACCTCCGTCGATCCCGTGGAATTCTGTCTATCACTCTGGATAGAATTGCACAGATTTTGTGGAACGGATGGTTTTCCTTCAGCTCTTTGGTGTGAGAAGCCCTGAAAGGTGGGATAAAATGAAATTTGACTCTCTGCTAACTTACAGGGAGGGAAGGAGTACTTGATGAGGGCCCATTTTGGGCTTCCGAGTGTGGAAGCTGAGGACAAAGAAGGGAAACCTCCCATCAGTGTGAAGTTTGAAATCCCATATTTCACCACATCTGGAATTCAGGTAAGCAGGCTATCATTGTGGGTGCCTTGCCAGCCTAGATGGGATTTCAGTGATCTTGTCCACTCTCTATGCTTCATGCTTCTCCTTCTCTTTTATCTGCCCCACCCCCGTGAATGTGGGAAGCAAATGGACTTCTTCAGACGGAAGCTGAAAGTTTACTTCTGTTCCTTTCTAGGTTCGTTATTTAAAAATAATTGAGAAGAGTGGCTACCAGGCATTGCCTTGGGTCCGCTACATTACCCAGAACGGAGGTATGTGAAAAGACACTTTGCTTATTAGATACCTTAAGGTGGCCTTGCAGCCACAAAATGGTGCTAGTATATCGAGTGCTTAACTTGGTGGGTGTCACGTGGTGTAGGATGGTTTCCATGTGCTTGCAGTAAGAATGAGGTCTAGGTGAGACTGAATTTGGTTAAGTAACCAGAGCTCTTTATCATGTGTTTCTCCTAGGATAAGGAATGGGATTATTTATTTGTGCCAGAAGCATCACAATTAAAATAAGGCATACTATGCAACATAAAATTTTAAATATAAAATACAAGATTAAAATATATACGTTAGGCAGATCTTACTCCCAAACTAGCAACGTTAATTGTGCAATCACTTAAGTAAGTAATGGGATGGCTAGTATATAGCTGACCATAGTTTTAGAATTAGACGGTCCTCTGTAAAAAAACATGGGGAAAATGAGCAAGGTCTGGGGTGGAATGGTAATTAGAATCTTGGGAGTAGCAATGGGGAGACTATTTTCAATTTTTTACTTGATCAGGGAATCCACTGGGGGGCTTTGGACTAGTCATTTTTTCCCAGTCTACCCTAATAGTTGCTGCCTTGGTAAGGCCACACTTGGAATACTGCATCCAGTTTTGGTCACCACGATGTAAAAAAAATGTTGAGACTCTAGAAAGAGTACAGAGAAGAGCAACAAAGATGATTAGGGGACTGAAGGCTAAAGCATATAAGGAACGGCTGCTGGAATTGGGTATGTCTAGTTTAATGAAGAGAAGGACAAGGGGGGACATGAGAGCAGTGTTCCAATATCTCAGGGGCTGCCACAAAGAAGAGGGAGTCAAGCTATTTTCCAAAGCTCCTGAAGGCAGGACAAGAAGCAACGGATGGAAACTAATCAGGGAGAGAAACAACCTAGAACTAAGGAGAAACTTCCTGACAGTTAGAACAATTAACCAGTGGAACAACCTACCTCCAGAAGCAGTGAATGCTCCAACACTGGAAGTTTTTAAGAAGAGACTGGACAGCCATTTGTCTGAAATGGTGTAGGGTTCCTGCCTGAGCAGGGGATTGGACTAGATGACCTCCAAGGTCCCTTCCAACTTAATAATAATAATAATAATAAATGAGAGGCAATTTTTCACATGCCTGTTTCATTTCCATAGAAAAAAGGTTGGATGCAATGGTAAGAAATGAACAAGTTAAAAAAAATGGAGTGGAGGGGTTCTCTGTGCATAGCTTCGCTGCTTCTCATCACTGAGCTCATTAAATTTTCTTTTCCTCCTAGATTATCAACTTCGAACACAATAACGTCAGCTCATTTACTGCGGCCAAGAAAGTAATCAATATCCCTGGTCAGAAATGTTTGGTGCTTGAAGGCGTGGGCCAAGGTTGTCTTGCTGGCTGGAAGTGGAATCAGGCTGTGTCCCATATCCAGCTGTACTTGGACCAGTGTTTAGTGCAGACGTCATGAATGTTTTTTTTCTTGTTCGCCCCATTCAGTGTTGTTTTTGTTAGGAGTAGCTGTTGCCTTGAAACAAGGCCAAGAATCAATCTTGGAAAAACTTGGCTGGTCTTATTTCTTGGCTTCAGAATTTGGGGGCTATTAGTCCTCCTTTCTGAAGTTCTGTGAGTATTAGCTGAGCTCCTCTTGCCAACCATTTGCCTGCTGATGCATCTAAATGCTAGTTAAACTCTGGTGACATCTTGAAATCAATTTTGTTTGCATTGCTGGGTTGTTTTGGGAAATTAATTATCTACAACGGATTCCCCAAATGCAGAGTTTACAAAATGCAAAGTCATTTGATCGATGGTGCTCGGTTCAAGAAAGAAAACATGCAGTTGGTGTTACAAGGTGTTTTTATGTGATGGCGCGGCTCTCAAAATGGATGCCCGACCCCATCCACTTCTGAATCATCTAGCCGAGAAGAACATCCTATCCATATATCTTTTGCAAGCAGCAACTGAGATGAACAACATGCAACTGAAGCCACTTTGTAGAATTTGTAAGATGATCTGCTTCTCCTTAAACAAAAGCCACCTGTATATAGAAAACTTACCTTGCTACTGAGAAAGGTCCTAGGGTTGTTGTTGTTGTTTTTGTCTTCGTTCTTTGGACGGTTTCTGTGCATAGAGGGTCTTGCTTGGGAATCATTCTGCCAGCCCTTGCTTAGCTTTCAAATGGCACAGTCATCTAGGTGCTGCAGTGTCTGTTGATGGTGGTTCCTACAAGAACTCCCAAAACGGTAAAACAGATGCAGAGTGTCTTGTGAGTGCCATGCCTCCTCTAGTCTAGCCCCTTCTGGGTGTGTTGGGACTGGAATTCCCAGCACTGCAACCTACCTATCTTGCCCCTTGTGTTCCAACTCAGCCTTTCCCAATTGTTTCCAACACATATCAGGAAAGGCTGTTTTAGCCGGACAAGCAAGTCCCCCCCTAATGGCTTTAGGTCAAAGATTTTGTTGCCTTCTCACTGCTTCCTTTAGGGCAGTCCGTCTTTGAGGTCTGCTCAGTGGCAGTTGGTCACTTCTGATAGAACACACAACATTACATATGCTTCTTAGCAACATATCTTGCTTACAATTTGGCTTTTTCTTCTAAAGAGTTGTAGGGTTCAAGTTCATGATACACTTGCAAAGATTACATTAAGAGCTTGCTTTTTACAAAGTGGATTGGGAGCAGCAATACACATGAAGTTGGGAATGTGATGCCCTATGTAACTTTGCAGCAAGACCCGTCAGTTCCTGGAAAAATAGCCCTAGTCCGTTACTTGTAACCATGAAAAATCACTTTGTAGTTGAACAAATGCAACAGTAATGGATTGATGGTACACTTTAATCATTCATAGGTATATTTTCACCCATAGTTGCACTTAAAAGGGCTGTGTTTCCAGTGGGGACCTCCTAGAGTTGCTAAAATGCAATTTTCAGCCATCTTCATGGCAGTAATCATGAAGAATTGCAGCGCTGTAGCTTGTTTTTGTCAGAATGATGAAAGTAGCATTCCAGTGCCTCCCCTGTGGGACATGTATGTGATATCATGAAGCTCATGGAAAAGGGGCAGGTGGGTCATCAGTCTGACCCACCTGCAAATGCTACTGCCGAGACGGTTGGAAACTCTAGTTCAGGACTCTGGAAGGTCACAGAATCCCTAGGTCAGACTTGTCTCAGCTTGAGCTTCTAAATACGAACAATCCTTAACTTCCATTTGGTTGAGAAAGGTATAGTTTACTAGAAGTCAAGTGAATTACTGTAGTCTAGTAAACTGTACCTTTTTTAACCAAATGGATTGTTCTTGGAGCTTCAAACCAAGGCAGGTCTGACACCCTATTCCTGAGAAATATACAACATAATGATTGGTCAGGGACAGATGGGCTCACTTGCTAAAGTTAGATCTAAGACCACTCCTGTTATTAAACGGTTCCCTCCAGCTGCCAGAAATGTCAACATCATGCCTTTAACCAGGGCATTGTATTTGTTGTCTAAAAGTCTGTTTAAAATAAATGAAATGACCAGAATTTTAGAGTCTTGGTTTTCTTTTGCACAGATCAAAGCTTGGTATTTCCTGGGGGGACTGAGAAATTAAGATGAGAAGATGCATATTTATTCTATCCTTGCTCCAAGGAACTCCGCAACATTGGTGAATTTTTTCACTTTAACCATTTTGTGTGGTAATGTAAGCCAAGAAAAAGATAGTAGAAAACTACTTGTATTGTCCCCAGGAAAACAAAATAATGTGCTCATATCACCAGGAGTTGAGGTAGTGATTGCTCTTGTCACCTAGCTATTTCATGGCAGCATGTGGACTGGTTACTTGGTTTCAGTCCTACATTCCAGCCACCTTCAATGAAAGTGTCTAGAGAGATTCACAATCACCCAGGTTATGGTTGTCCCAAAGGTGCTTTTTAAAAGGCAACTGGATTTTTCCTGTGCTTTTTCCTTGAAAATGTTTTGCTTCTCATCCAAGAAGCTTCTTCAGTTCTTCAAAACCGAAGAAGATTCTTGGAATCTTTTCAAGGAAAAAAAAATCAAGAAAGTCCAGTTGCCTTTGGGCTCAATGCAAGTGATGTTATAACAATGACCGATGAGTATCTGTTTAGAAAATGGTCTGATTTTGGTTGAAGCATTTTTGATGCACACACTTTAAAAAAAAATTAAAATAAAAAAGGGACAAATTAAAGGGTATGATGGTTTATAATGAAAGAGTGATAAAACTGATGAAGGATATAAGGGTCATGAGCAATTCTTAGTGTGGGACAGACCATTGTTCAGTGGTGCCATGTGAGGGCCTTGGCAAAAAAAAAATGGCTGTGGAAGAAGTGAAAGTGCAGGAATTGTTACAAAAAAGAGCAATATTGTTTAATGTGTTAAAAACAAAGATAATGTAGTAAGGAATAGTTTGGAACAGGGAGATAAAATGTAAAGCAATTTTGATGGGAAGGGTGATCCTATTAGTGCTGATCTGAAAATTATATCAGTGTAGAAAATCGAATCAATGATTGCAAATTACACAGTAAAAAAAAACCTAGAGCAAACCTCATGCAACAGATTTCTGTTGTGATTTGGGAAATATAGTTATCCAAATGGCACAAATGCCTTGTGTTCAGATGAATGCTACAATGTTAGAGAAGGCGCAGCTGATCAAATACAATGTTTCTTTTAAAAAGGAAAATAAAACTGCATACATACCACCAAATTATCCTAGCCTTTTTTTTCTTTTGCAAAAATTAGTGTTCAGACATGACACATATTTCATCCTAAGGCCTGTTTGGGTTACAGTATTATTAATTATGATCCCTAGTAACGATTTTTACTTAAATTGTGAAGCATCTTATACAACGTGTGGAAGCCATGTAGTTTGGCAGCAGTTGCAACTAACTTACAAAAACTACACACCAGTTACACAGTAATTTGTAAAATTCAAGATACATGTTGGAGTAAAAACTTTTTACTTCTAGCGTTAAATTCTATGAACCAGAGCAAAAGTTTGTTGGTTCAAAGGTAAAGATCATAGTTGTAAAGATCTCTCTGCTCCTTCCTTGAAGGAAAACAACGGAGTCACAATTTCATTCCACACAGAATACGCGCATCATGATCCCGGAGAGTTTTTTTTGGAGCAAAACAGTTCAAAGATTAATATTTTTTAAGTAAATTACACCAAACACCCATTCCTCCTCAAAAGAAAAACCAGACATGAAGAATATTTATGTGCTTGCTTCCATATATATACAGGTAGTCCTCAACTTACGGCCCAATTGAGCCAATAATTTTTGTTGTTAAGTGAGTTTGTCCCCATTTTACAATATTTCTTGCCACAGTTAAGTGAATCACTGCAGTTGATAAGTTAGTAACCCAATTGTTAAATGAATCTCGTTTCCCCATTGATTTTGCTTGTGAGGTCACAAAAGGGGATCACATGCCCTTGGGGCACATCAATGCTCATAAATGTGAACCAGTCGCTAAGCATCTGAATTTTGATCACTTGTCCATGGGGAATGCTGCAAAGGTCATAACTGAAAAACAGTCATAAGTCACATTTTTCAGTGCCACTGTAACTTTGAATGGTCACTAAACGAATTGTTTTAAGTTGAGGACTACTTGTGTGTGTAAGATGTTCTCGTTTGCGTAGACGGCACCTGGTCGCTGAGCCAATGAACCTGGCAGCCATTTCTGCCACAAATCCGAAATGGGTCTTTCCCACGTCCTCCCCCCTCCCCCTCCCCCATCCACCTTTTTATTTAAGCTTATTTTATTTATTTATTTATTCATTCATTTATTTTTGGTTTCCTCTCGCCCCGCCCTTGCGCGCCCCCTTCCCAGCCAGTCTCGCGGGATCGCCTTTCTTGGGCTATATAAACCCGTCGGGCGCCTCCTGCGTTCTTTTCTCGCCCCCCCTGCGGCTGAGGCTGTTCTGTTGAATGCGCCAGGCCAGGGCGGGAGTCTGGAAGATGGCGGGCGAAGGGAAAGAAACCCCGGCCCTCCTGCCGAAAACACAGCAGCGAAGGAGGCGCGGAGGCCTTGCCCGTGAAGCGTATGATCACCGCGCAGGGTAGGGGGTTGAAACTCCCTCATCTTTTCTTCGCCCCTTAAATTATGCGCCTCCGAAGCGATCTGTGCTTTAGGATGGTCAACACAGGGGGGTAGATCGCTCTCTCACTGAAACCTGGGGCGGGGTTGGGTCTCCGCCTTCGGATCCTGTCGTGAGAAACACGTTTTGGGTTTGGCGGGATAGTATAAGGGCAAATCCCGGATCTTGTTACTGGATTGGCAGCGGCAGGCGGGAAGGGTACCAATTTCCCTCGTTAGTCTCAACTTCTATTGTATTCCTATGTAAAAATGGCTATTTTTGTACTATTAAGAGTTGTTATAAATTCTTAATAAATTACCCAAGAAACGAGGTTAAGGTGACAAAATTTATTGTATCTCAACTTGCTCTTTGTTACCACCACACAGACAACACACCAGAGGAAAACAAAAAGGTTCAAATAGGCCTGGTTAAGGTCTGTGGCTATATTAATTGGCTGCTTTGAGCTCTTTACATCCACATTAATTGGTTGTCATTCTTTTCCAGGCACAGACCCAAGGAATAACTTGTCTGCTTACACAAATGGCCTGCAATGAAACTGTTGGTGTTTTGCAGAAGTTATTCTGCTGAATGAGATGAATGTAATGGCTGAAGCAATAGCCGTTCCTTCTGTTAGAAAATAATGGTAAGTTTTATTTCACTCTTTATCATGTGGATACATGTCTGGAATGTTATAGGGCAGGGATAGGCAACCTTGGCTCAGGAATTCTGGGAGTTGAAGTCCATGAGTCATAAAAGAGCCAAGGTTGCCTACCCCTGGTATAGGGTCTCCTGCTTGAGCAGGGGATTAGACTAGAAGACCTCCAAGGTCCCTTCCAACTCTTCTGTTTATTGTAGATTTTCTGATTCTTGTTGACTTTTGATCTAGAAGGTGGTGAATGTGTTCTTTTTCTCCACTAGATCTCAAACCATAGCTGGAAAGCATGCTTTTAAAAATCTCCACAATGTCAGATTTGAAAAAAACAATGCTACAATTTATCCATTGCCACAATATTTCAGAAAAATTATCACTTGCATAGTTACCAATGTCAGTCATAATTAGAGATGGACCTATGTGTAGAATTCATCTCCCCCTTTTAGCTTTGCCCTCTTAAGGCTGATTGTGCTTTAAGTGGCCAATACAGAGGGGTAAAGTAAATTCTTCTTTAAACCCAGAGGTGAGAATGAAACTTTTCTCTGGATCCTATTGGGAGAAACAAAGACAATCCTTACTAAATATGTGTTATACTAGAAGACAGTATTTATTCAAGAATGACCAGTGCAGTTAGGACTGACTGTAGCATTTTATTACACATCATAATGTGAGTTTGGGATTTTAAAGTAGTTGCTTTCATAGGGTTGGTTTTTTTTTTTTGCAACGCCAATTAGCCTTTTCTTGGCAGGTTTTTTTTTTTTTTCTTTTCAACCAGTTACATGGATATTTCATCAGTATCATTAGTAGAATTTTATCTGAAAAGAATTTATATTTCTCTTTATATTCTGCTAGAGTCGAAAGATTCCTGAGGACTATGCACCTCTCTAAATTAAAAGCCAGTGTGGTGTACTGGTTAAAATCACTAAGCTAGAAATTGGGAGACTGAATTGGGTCAGCTTGGGTGTTATGGGGAAAAAAGGAAGCAGGAGCATTATTTCTGCAGCAATAAATTGTACAAAATAAAGATGGGATGTGCTTCTAATAATAAAAATTACCTATTCCCCTGACAAAATAAGTTTAAAGTATGCTAACTAGCTGGTATTACACATCTTAAACCTTGATTTATTTGTGAAATTTATACAATTGTCCATTTCACAAAAGGTGACTCTCACTAGCATACAATTGTAAAACAATATAGAAAAAACATTATTAAAAATGTAGAACAGTCATTATTAAAATATAAAAACCACAATATAAAAAAGATGTTGAGACTCTAGAAAAGCATGTAGAGAAGAGCAATACAGATAATTAAGGGACTAGAGGTAAAATATGAACTGCTGAAGAAATTGTGTATAGTTCAGGGGTGTCAAACTCAATTTCACTGAGGGCCGCATCAGCATTGTGGTTGCCCTTGGGGGGCTGGGTGGGTGTGGCCAGAGTGGGTGCAGCCGGCTGGGTGGGCGTGGATGGAGTGGGTGTGGCCTACTGGGTGGTCGTGGTCAGTTCTGCATCATTCGCGTCAAGGGTGTCTGTGGGGGCCTGGGCAGGAGTGGGACAGATCAGAGGGTCTCTGGCAGAAGGGGGTGGGACCTGGGCCAGGGCCAAGGCAGTAGGGGTCATTCCCTCACTGTTCCCAGGATGGCTTTGCGGGCCACATGAAACCACTTTGCGGGCCATATCCGGCCCCCAGGCCTTGTGTTTGACATGTCTGATCTAGTTTAATGAAAAGGACTAGGGCAGAGGTAGGCAACCTTGGCTCTTTTATGACTCTCTGTGGACTTCAACTCCCAGAATTCCTCAGCCAGCCATGCTGGCTCATGAATTCTGGGAGTTGAAGTCCACGAGTCATAAAAGAGCCAAGGTTGCCTACCCCTGGACTAGGGTAACATAGCGATATTTAAATATCTAAAGGATTGCCACAAAGGGGGGGGGGTTCTGCTATTCTTCAAAGCAGCAGGACAAGAAGCAACGGATGGAAACTAATTAAGGAGAGAAGCAACTTAGGACTGAAGAGAAATTTCCCCACAGAACAATCAGTGGAATGACTCCAGAAGTTGTGGGTGCTCCAACACTGAAGGTTTTAAAGAAGAGACTGGACAATCATTTGTCTGAAATTGTATATTGTAGAGTTTCCTGTCTGAGCAGAGGGTTGGATTAGAAGACCTCCAAGGTCCCTTCCAACTCTTGTTATTCTGTTACCACAGGCACAGGGGAAAATGAATATAAACCACAATGATGGAACCATTTTAGAATGTTACTGGTTCCTTGCAATCCCCAGGCCTGAGGATATAAGCAGGTCTGGTGGCACTTCCAGAAAGTAGCTGATGGGACCTGTAGCATGCATTCTCTGCCAGATCCCTCTATTAACTAAGACAGTGAATGGCTCCCACCTGAAGACATCATTTTTAACTGTCAAAATTTGATCATGGATGGGAAGGACTTGGGACATGGAAAACTCAAGGAACAGAAATAATGCTTAATGTTTGATTTCTGGGTTTTGGATGACTTTCCCTCTATTCTAAGCTTGGTTCTAGTATGTAAGGTACCTACACTGGGCAGCAACAAAGGGTTATAAGTCTTCATGTTTACTTCAGATGTAGCATGCACTTGTTGGCACCATGAATAACCTATTTATCCCCCAATTTTTCACAGAAAGGAAAGACAATATCGGTAAAGTGATTGGTGGCTGACTTCACTGAAGATTTGTCTTGTGATGTCTGATTTAGCCTGGAGAGATCTGGCTTCAAATTGATATTTTACCATGAATTTTCCTGAGTATTGGCCTTGTGCCCTGGAGCTGTGAGGAAAAAATACTGGATTTTCTTCATAGATAAAATTGACTTGGATCCATTGTTGGGGCAGATCATACGGGCAAATTGGCAATTTGCTTGTCCTGTTTTGTTTTTTCATCTTGTAGATTTCAGAAATGTAGATGTTAAAATAGAAGTTCACCATCTGTTTCCTTCATCCTTTTTCCTTTTGTTTGATAAAATTGGTCTTGGAGGAATTGCACCTGTGAAAACGGTTTCTCTTTCTCTTCTTCGTTTAATAAGAAGTTGATTAAGACTCTTGTTGAAAATATCCTGTTAACTTAAGATTTAAATTAACTTTGGAACATCTTTCCCTTGGAAATCTGGCTCTTTCCTGAGATGATAGGGTTAGAACCTCAGTGGAGCACCATAGATTTGTTACATGGAGCCTTCTGAGGAACCTTTAATTACAATATGATTTTAATTGTATTCTACATGACAAATGGGTACCCACAAGCATTTATTACAAGATTCCTGTGCAACAAAACAGGGGAGAGAAAAGAAGAAAGAAGGCACAAGACCAACTATATGGTAGAAAGCAGCTTCTGAGATCTGCAAGTAGGCCTTGCACACTGCCCAGAGGCTACTCATATGAGGATAGATCATGCATTGCAAAGATCATTTGGAGGTGGGTGATACTTCCTATGTAACCTACCAGATCCCCCGCATGTGTTGTCCCTCTGTAGGACAGATGGGAAGTTAACCATTACATTGCAATTACACAAGCAAGCGGTCAGATGAGATCCAAACTCATTGGCAGCCTCACATTGCAATGAACAAGGACATACATTGAATTTTGTAGACGTTGGCTGAGCAGGTATAAAAATAGCCAAGGAAATGATTGAAGCCTGGGAAATGGATCCCTTGTCAGACAACAGGAGTGCTGATTTACCACCAGCTTATAAAGTACTTGGGAGATGAGGACTTGGTAGCACAAGGAAACAAAATCAAGTTTACCAGCCATCAACACTCCAACCAACAGCTAAAAAGTCAAATACAACCAGGCACCACACAAATGCTATGCATGGAATAGCCCAAAGCACATATTCTGGCGAGGGGGAAGTTCCCTGAGGATGGGCTTGGAAGACTAATTTATGGTGACCAACCCAGCTTGGATCATGTATTCTGTATAGCTTTACACCACTTTTTATTAAATATTGCTTTTACCTATTTCTCCGCTGCCCAGAGTTATGTTTAAAATGGGCAGCTGTGTAATTTCTAAAATGAATAATAAACCTCTTTAATTATTCTACTTTCATACATTCTATTTTGGTGGGAAGGTGGCAATGACCTCTTTAGTTTTATTTGAAAGATGTTGATTATCTGGACTCATTTTAATCAGGCCATGATATAGTAAGGCTGCTTTGATAACTTTGATGGATGGCTTGCATCAGAAATTGGATAAAGGGGAAAGGGAGAATGCAGCTATTTGGGTTAGTTTGAACTACTTGATATGTTTTAATACCATTATAGTGGTATTCTAAACTGGTAAGATATGGCCATAAGGACACCATTACATAGTAGTCCCAATTCAGTTTTGTTACATTGTGATATATAGTTTGCCTGTAGGTGTCCTGTTAATTTCAGTGGAATAATTCTATAGCAGTTAACCACCATTTTATGGGATGATGCAACCTGACATTAAAGCTAACTAGAGATTTGAAGTTCATGAGTGCATAGCGCACCTTTGGGGCATTCTAAGCAAAACATGTCTTGGGATTGTCCACCAAGTGTAGAGGGCGATTAAGAAATACGATCCTGCACATGGCTCAGTTCTAGCAAATTGCTGTCCCAAGAAGGCTGGAGGTGAGCCACGACATGGTGGCCTAAGCATTAACCAAAGGACAACACTGAATTCAGTCATGTTGTCAGTAGGATCTTTGAATCCTACTGGAAAGCAAGTACCTATTGGTCCCTCAACATTCATGAGCACACACAAAATTCTAGGAGAATCTATCAGGCATGCATTTTAAAAAAGTTTTATTGCAAAAAGTAAATCCCCTTTCCATTCCAAATTCTAACAAGGGATATAGAAAATACAATTAGGATCATTCCGTTAATCAAACACCTCTGTGATGGCATCAGCCTACAAAATGGAAGTACAATTGTACTTAGAAGTATAAGAAACCGGCAGGTCAGGTCCGTTTTTTCCATTACCAGTTTCTGAACATATTGGTATGATACTCCCACCCCATCCCCATGCTAGGCAAAATATTCTCTATTTCTGCACCATATGCTCCACAAATTATATTAGTGCTCTTTAGGTGTAGTGAGGTGGCGAGGCAAATCATTTTAGCAACCATCCGCCAGCTTAGGTTTCTCAACCATGCAGCTGCCATCCAGACAGAAAGAAAGCTGCTTTTTCAGGTCTGCTCTCAGAAAGTGGGAAGGATAGCAAGGAGAAGTAGCAGCAAACTTGGGTTAAAATTCTCACACCTACCTCCAATGTATGGCTTCATAAACCCAATTGCTCTTGCACAATCCCACCTCTAAGCAAGAAGACACATTGGTAAAATCAGAATCAAAACACTTATGAGCTGGATTAGGTAGCTCAAACAGATTTACAGATAACACACTAAATATATCTCATAAAACTTGCATATAAATAAGAAAAAGCCCAATATTTGTTGTTATTAAAAATAAAGCTGCCCTTTAAATTGTACAAAAACCAATTAAAAGTCTGGGAAAAAAGTATCCTGCTTGCAGTGAGCTTCAATAGTGAAAAATGTGTCAGGAACATTTCCAAACACAAACTGCTAGACTGCCTCCAAAGAACATGTACAGCAAGTTCTTCACTTCGTGGGTGATTTCGAAGCCAAACCCTTCCCCAATCACTACATGCCAGGAAGATCCAAATTTCTTGTCCATTGTCTCTTTGATCATCTTGGCAGCGCTCTGAAGGAAAAGTTTGACAGGGAACAGAAACCAAAAGAAAAAAGTAACATTACTAAAATGGAATATACTTTTCACCTCACAAAAAAATATTACTAGAACAAAAGGTTTTCCAGCAGGTAGCAACATTTGGGCAATGTTAGGCTGCAAAGCTAAGCAGGCTAGGGCCTGTTTAATATCTCCAGCAAGTAGAGGACTGTAATTTAGATGAAGGAATCCCAAAAACATTCCAGAAAAAGGCAGTAAGCCATATCTGTACTGTTGCCATGAAAGCCACATGTCCGTATTCAGGAAGATAGCTTGAGCTGTAGGTAAATGTGTCAACATCTGATCACTCACAAAACAGTTGATAGAAGTAAATTAGCATACAGGTAGTCCTTGGCTTACGACCATTCGTTCAAAGTTAAAATGGCACTGAAAAAATGCCACCACTACTGCAGCATCCCCATGATTACATCATTAAAATTCAGATGCTTGTTAACTGCCATGTATTTATGATAACTGCAGCATCCTGGCAATGTGTGATCATCACTGGAGACCTTCCCAGTCTGCTTCTGATAAGCAAAGTCATTGGGGGGGGGGGGAAGCTGGATTCACTTAATAAACACAGGATTCATTTAACTGCAGTGATTCACTTAACAACTGTGGCAAAAAAAGGTTGTAAAACTGGCATGACTGACTTAACATTTGCCCTGCTTAGCAAGAGAAATTCTGCTCCCAATTGTGGCCGAGGGCTACCTGTACTTATTGCCAGAATGCTTAACAAAGTAACAAAAGGTCTTTATCCTGCTAGCTCCGTTAGTTGAAATATTAGGAACACTTTTTCCCCTGACCTTGCTTATGTAGCGGAGTTGGAGTGAGAATGGGGCCAGCTGAGAGGCTTTGCAGGAGCCCCGCTGATTAGGCAGGAAGATGAGGAGCTCCAGCAGCTGCAATGGGTCTGGCAGCGGGGCGTGGCTCAGAGGAGGGAAAAAAAGGGGGGAAGCTGATAGAAGGGAGGAAGAGAGAAGGCTTGGTGGAGCTTGCCATTCTGATCCAGCTGATCGAAGAGAGAGTAAAAAGCTGGGGTTTTTGCGTTTGCTTTTTTTGCTTTGTTACAGGCAAGCTGGACGAAAGGGGAAGGGATAGAGAGAGAGTAGTTGCTGGAGCTGTTTGCTTGAAGCAAGCCAGGCAGGGAGGGATAGAGGATAAGAGTAGTTGCTGGAACCGTTTGCTGGAAGGAGGCCAGGCAGAAAGAGAGAGAGAGAGAGAGAGAGAGAGAGAGAGGGAAAGTGGGAGTAGCTTGCCAGAGCTGTTTGCCTGAAGCAAGCCAAGCAGAGAGAAAGATGGTGAGAGTGGCTGGTTGGAGCTGTTTGCTTGAAGCAGGCCAGGGAGGGAGGGAGAAAGAAAGAGAGAGAGAGAGAGGCGGGGGTAGGGGGGGGAAAGGTGAGGTTTTATTGTTTCTTTCTCTTTCCTTGTAGGCAGGCCAGACGAAGAGAGGGAGAGAGGGTAGTTTGGGAGTTTTAATTCTTTTCCCTTGGACTAAGTTAGCCAGAGGGAGAGTTAGGGAAGAGTTTGACATACCTCTTTTAGTGGGAGGTAAGGGTTTCTTTTCTTTATAGGATCAGCTGGGGAAGATAAAAAGGGATTACATGGGGTGAGGTCAGAGAGGGACAAGGAGAGCGGACAAGGGAGGCCTCTGCCAGCACCAGAGATTGGTTGCCAACATTCTAGGCAAGTTGTCATCAAAGATGGATTAACATCGTCCTAGGCAAGTTGTTGCCACCAGAGACTGGCTACCATTGCTTTAGGCAAGTTGCTGTCATCAGAGACTGGCCACCATTGTTCTAGACAAATTGCCATCACCAGAGGCTGATTAACATTGTTCTGAGCAAGTTGTTGTCATTAGAGATTGACTACCATCTTCCCTGTAAGTTCTTATTGCCTGAGATCAACCACCATCATCCCAAGTGAGTCACTGTTGGGAGAGAGAGCGACCATCACCGCCCCATGTGTGTGGCTGCCGATCGTGACTGAATACTACTTCACGTGCCCTGTAAGACAGAGGCGCCAATGTGAGAGACCTCTTTGGGCTGGTGGCCGCTTGGAGAGGAGGTTGGGAGGGCCCGGACTTAAGTGATCCCTATGGGGGTGGCGTTACAGTTAAATGGCATCTCCTTGCACAAATGTCTGCAGGGGGAAAGCCTTACATGTACCACTTTGTCCTGGTTACTGAAGAAACTATCACAGCTACTTTCCTGTAGTCATTTGCGCTAGATCAGTGACCACAGGAGTCAAAGTCATCTGAGTGACATGGGTAGGGAACACAGTTTATCTATCACTGAGGGAGATTAAAAATAGGAAATATAGATAAATAAAATCTAAAGCACTTGCATAATGAACACGTTTCTGGATGCTTGAATGGAGCTTAGCATGCATTTTTCTGCCCTAAATAATAATTGAATCCAATTCGTCCAACAGAAACAACTGTGTGCAAACTGGGAGGCCTAAGGGCATACAACACTGCTAGCTGAGCTACAAAAAAATTACCATAGTTAACATTAATCTTATCATGCAATGCTAGGTTTTAAGCATAAAGAGATCATGCTAGGGAAAAATGCTCTATTATCATTTAGTTATAGAAAGGGATTTAGCATCAAAGGCAGGAGTAAAAAGGGCATTTATACAAACTATGATTACTGGTTTTTAATATATATTTATGATACCAGAATCTATAAGAATATAGATTTATTGCTTCTTCTATTACCTTTCCTTTTAGAAAGAGGTGGTTAAAAATTAACTGAAGCATATCTGGTGTCTCACCAAATACAGAGGTTTTAGTGTCAGTACCTCATTGTTGGTGGCATATTTCTCACATGCAGTGACACATAATTCCATGGCCTCAACTCGCATTTCTTCCGGCATGTCTGAGTGCTGGGAAAAAAATTACAAGCATAGAGGATCTCTGTCAGTTTTAAGCCAGGATTGGTTACTGCATAACACTGAATCATAATGAGATGCTAAGACATGAAGAATGGAAGGATTCAAATCTCTTCCATAAATTTGTCTTTATTTATTACAGACAATTAACTACCAAGAATACCAGTCTACAGACTTTTTCCCCAGTAATTCTTTTCTATGCAATATACTCTAGTTTCAATTGCAATCCTCCTTTCTAATACAAATGTCACACAAAGGGGAAAAGCTTCACACATGCCACTTTGTCATGGTTAATGAAGAAACTACCACAGCCTCTCTCCTGCAACCATTTGTGCTAAGCCAGGGCCTGCAGGACTCAATATTAATTTTTGTCTTTTTTAATGCAAAAAGTCTGTAAGGGGTTTCTAATCACCAATAAATGTAGATATCATCTTCTCTCTAATCAAACAAGTCAATTTAGCCATTTCACCAAGTTGATCATCTTCACCAACCATTCCTCCATTATAGTTACTACCAACTTCTTTCCATCTCTATGCATATAAAATCTTAAGCCTGATTTTTGACCTTACCTAAGGCCTTGGAATGAACCTCTTAGGCTAGCTTTAGAGTGATCAACATTTCATCATTCAAACTTGGGAGGGAGAGCAGAGTCTCCTTCATTAGAAAACTTCACAAGCATTATGTAACACAAACAAAGAAGTATCAGCTTGCTTGGGCCCATAGCAAAGATTTCTTCAACATAGATAGCAATAGCAATAGCACTTAGACTTAAACTGCTTCATAGTGCTTCACAGCTCTCTTTAAGCAGTTTGTAAAACTGTCAGCCTATTGCCCCCCAACATTGTGTCCTCATTTTACTGACCTCAGAAGGATGGAAGGCTGATTCAACCTTGAGCCAGTGGGAATCAAACTGCCAAACTGCTGACAGTCAGCAGAATTAGCCTACAGTATTGTACTTTAACCACAGCTCATACGCTATAAAAAAACATGGTATGATACATTATAAAAACATGGTATGATGCCATACAAAACAGCCTTGAAAGAAGATGCTTACTAAGCTCTGAGGGACAGGAATGCACATTTTGATCAAGGGTGCTCTGTATACCTTGGGTAATCAGATTTTCGCAGATAAACTAATAACTCTTCAGTCACTATGGCAACTAGTTCTCTCCATCCTTCCCCTCACTCTTCTGTTTAGTTTTTGTGACAAATTTAAGATATAAAAATGGCATTACATTTCAATATCTTCTGATTTGAAATATGTCATCTCTCTTCACTTGCATTCTTACCCTAATCAGTGGGAAGCTGTGAAGTCTCTTATAATCTGCTTCTTCTTTTTTCCCCTCCCCGGTATCTGCCATTATCTGTCCACTGTGACTTCAAGTGGGGGCAGAATATTTTGAAGGAAACCAGTCACGTGTAGGCTAGCAATGTGAATTCAGTTCAGTTTTGGAAAAAATACCTTATGCTATATAGAAAAATAAAGGAAAAAATAATATAGCATAATAGTTAGGATATAATACAGTCAAACCCTTTTAAGAGAATTAAAATAAACAGTCATTTATATGACAATGACATTTGTCTAGTTTTTTTTTTATTCTTGCTAATATTGTTAAAATAGACAGGCTTCAAATAGTAACAATAATAAAAAAAAAATTGAATTATGGTGACTGTAATGATCCCTGTTTATTTGACTAAATTATTACAATTTGTTTAAATTTCATATTGGGAACCAGAGTTTCAGAAGTAGCAAGTCTTGTACAGATTTTTTTATTCTTTCAGATAAGGAACTAGCTCTCTTTTTTACTCCAGTGGAATTAACAGCTAATCAATTAGCTAATCTTGTGTATTCACATGTATTTTAAAGATTGTGTATTATAAGAGGAAAAAAAATCTCTTTCTGGAGACTCTATGAATCACTGGTCTAGAGGGGACATAAATATATTTCAGGTAAGTCAGTTTCAAATAATGAATTTCAAAATCACCAAGACATTATTCTGTAGCTCCATAAAAAAATAGAAGATGTGGATAAATAAGAATTAATCAACCGTATGGGCACAATACAGGATGATATTAGAAGGATGTCAGTGTGCTGCATTCCTTCTAAAAATACCACAGTATCATTCAGTATGCTGTTTACAGGCAACATAGATACTCAGTACATTTGGCATACTATACATTTGAAAAAAATCTGATCTTTCATTGCAAATTGTAAGAAGCAACTACTAAACAATGAGCAGTAAAATGAAAATACAAAAATGCTTACAATGATTCTGCCTTCTTGGAAGATAAAATTTAAGAGACCTCAAAGACCAGAAGGAAATATCATTTTGCCATCCAAATGCTGGAATCTTAGGCAAATAATCTTCATTACTAACAAAAATTATGCTAATTTTTTTGTGTGTTTTATAGGAAAAGTGATTTTGGAGGCATTAGGGGCTTAGCTTGCTTATCTGTTACTCTTTTTGAGGACATTTAAATAATGATCTTTTAAATATTGTAACTGTAAAACTTTGTTGCCATATCTTTGTATAAAAGATACTGCCTTGTATCATTGTATCATTCCTTTCTTACTATGTTGTTGTTTTTGAATTATTCTGTAAACTATTTCAATAATCTTGAGACATCAAAACTGCATTGCCTCCAAATAAATTATTCCACTGTGGTTTCACCAGGTACTAATTGAAGTAAAAACTATACTGTGTGTTAATAACTTCCAACCATTCAGCTATTTTGAAACCCATAGCCAAAGGTTAGTTTTGGCTCATTTGTATATTTAGATATTGTGCAAATACATCTCACAGTAATTTTTGATCTGACTATCACTTAGAATCAGAATCAATCAATCGTCTTATTGAGGTACAATCAAAAGATCCATTTGGGTCACTGATTTTGGATCACTTTAATTTAGAATGATTTGTCAAGTATTAAGAAAAAAAATATAAGATTCTGTTGTCCACTTCATTGCTAAGGAGAATAGTACCTTATCACATCAAGTAACAAAGCCTGCTATTTTATTCATAAAAAAGGACATTTCCAGACCCGGAAAGCTTTCCATCTACGCAAGGGCTAACTCTTCATTTCGTGGGCAAACACACTCTGCACTTGCTCGAAGGTTAGCACCCTGCTTCCCCCGTGATTCAAGGCCGGCGGGAGAGTAAATCCTCCCTCTGGAGTATCAGCCCGCTTCAGATTCACACCTAACCGAAGGGATGTCTATACCTTAAGTGAAAATCCGAATTTCCTCCCACGCACCTCCGAAAGGAGCGGCGAGGAAGAACCGCAGCCGGCTGAAATAATGATTCGGCTGCCTTCCTTTAGCCCAGGCGAGCCGCTTCATCTTCCTGAGCTCCGCTCAGATGCTCGCCTCGCCCGGATCATACACGGGCTGGAATGTGGGACAGTCCCACCCAGCCGCTCAGGAGAAAGGAGTGCTCTAAGACCCGGCTAAAGGCAGGGGCGGACGGCACTATCCGAGGGACCAGACCCGGCAGAGGAAAGGCGTGCGGCCGGTGAGCGCCACCCGGTCCAAGGAGGAAGCCAGAAGCAGCTCCGTCCACGCCGGGAGCCCCGAACGAACACTCGGTGGTACATCTCACCTGCGTCACCTCGACCCCGAGCCCCCAAAGCCAGTCTCCTTACCGTTGTTAAGGAAAGAAACGTGCTTGTCTTAGCAACCGACGCCGGAAGTCCCGCCTTCTAGTTTGCCATTGGGCATCTGTTAAAGGTAGAGAGCACGGATAGGGTCCAAGGTTTGCCTATTATGCGAAGGGGTCCTAAGTCACCTCCACAATTTACTTGGGACACGGAGTGATAGGTGTTCATAATCTGCCTGATGAGATTATTAGAATAAGTTTGAGAGGTAGAGAAGTTTCTCTTCGTTTCCTAATTTATCCTGTGGAAAACTATAGGAGAGTTTCGTGCGAAGGTATAATTATTGCATTACATAGATAGCAAACTGGAAGGAGGTGTATGCTTTTCTTCTCCCAAAGTGAGCTAATTGAGTGCTCTTTTTCTAGACCTAACCCAAACTACAGATTATTTTGTTCTGTGTTATTCTTGGTACAGTATTGGAAAGAAAACAAAAATCTCATTGGGGCAGTAACAGAAAGCTAGTTAGCAATATCAGTGAGGTCTGGATCTTTTTAAATTAAATAGATTGACTGAAATTTAAAAAATCACCTTCAAGCAAAATAAAATAAAATTAAAATTAAAAAGGAATAGAAAGATGGATTAATATATCATGATCATATAGATGGAAAATGTAAATATATCGGCTTGCCATTTGTAAGATTCAGGAAAATGTGACCAAATATTCTTGCGTATATTTTCTTTGCTTTTAAATTAGTGTAAAAGTTCAACCAAAGGGGAAAAGGGGATATTGTTATGTATTCTGATAAGCAGAGCAACAATGTTTAAATATTCTTGAAACAGCTTTTGGCTAGCTGTATGCACATGGTCTCATGTGTAGATCAGTGGAAGGTTTTGAATAGTAGAATATGCATGCTCTGTTAAATAATAATAATAATAAATAAAGTTGGAAGGGACCTTGGAGGTCATCTAGTCCAACCCCCTGCTCAGGCAGGAAACCCTATACTATTTCAGACAAATGGCTGTCCAGTCTCTTCTTAAAAACCAGGTTATTCCACTGGGAGTTGAAGTCCATACCTCTTCAAGTCGCCAAGGTTGAGAAACACTGAGTTAAGCCAATCACTAATCAATGTTAAAGGTGTTATTGTAGATTTTGATGTTAAAGAAATTAATTTGATGTTGAATCTTATAACAGCTACAAGATTATTGGTGGGGCAATATTGGAAGAAAGATTCTTTGCCTACTATGGAAGAATGGATACTCAAGGTGTCTAATTTAGCAGAAATGGCAAAAATTTCCGCTTATTTGAAGGACTACTCACAAGAAAGATATATTTCGGTTTGGAGAAGATGGATAGATTATATTCAGAATAAATATGAGACTAAAAAGTATTATCTAGCTTATGAGTAAATTTTAGATTATTATTAACAGTTTGATATGGTAGAACTTATATTACTTAGTTTTATGGTTTAATTATATTATTATTTTTGTATTTAATTTGTTAATACTTATTTTGAAAAGGAGTTAAAGCATGTTATGGATTTGACCGTTTGTATAGTTGGGTAATGTTAGTTAGATCACAATTGTTTATTTGTAACCCTGTAATCAGCTCTGGGAAGTGGGGGGAGGGGGGAGGGATTTGTATAAATTTGTATATATTGTATAAAATCTTTAAAACTTTTAATAAAAAAAAAAATTTGGATGCTCAGCAACTGGTTCATATTTCTAATGGTTCAGGAGTCCCAGGTTTATGTGTTCACCTTTTGCAACCTTCTGACAAGCAAAGTCAATGGGGAAGCCAGATTCACTTAACAATTGTGCCAATAACAACTGCAGTGATTCACTTAACAACTGTGGCAAGAAAGATCATAAAATGGGGGTAAAACTCACTTAACTCTTGCTTAGCATCAGTAATTTTGAGCTCAATTGTAATCATAAGTTGAGGACTACCTGTATTGTGGAACCATTTTGGAAGATAGAATATAGCTGATGAAGTCTTGTGATGACTATTTCAACAGGTGTGAAGAATATTATCATATCATCTTCATCAGTTGCTGAAGTTGTTGAACAAATTTTGGAATACTTGAAGGCATGTTGATTGATTTGATATGAGGGTAACTGAGGACAGTGTTCCTACTGTCATCTGTACCTTAGACATCTCTGAGACGCAGCCATTGCCTCAATCTTCTGAATCTAGCTAACAAGTTCTATTGCTTTCTCCATCAAGGCTAAGATTCCCTCAAACTGAGTCTGACACCTCCATTTTTTTTTCTTGGCAACCATATAAAATGGCTTGTTATTTGCTTCTTCCAAGTTTTTTTTACTTTTTGATTTTCTGAATCAGTGTTTGGTTCAGGGATTCCCTGATGATTACTCTCTTAAGCTCTAAGTAAGGTCAATCTTGCTTAGTTTGAGACCCCAAAATCAACTAAAACCAATTAGGTGCTGCCACATGTGTTCTGTGTAAGAGAGAAAGGAAAACAAAGCCAAGTGTGTGGATCATTATGAATGTATGTGTTTCTAAATGGAATATGATAGTTTCTTATTTAAAATGTTGATCCGTGGAACAAAACAAAATTTGTATCAAAAACTATTATTAAGAAAGGGAATAAAATGGATTCTGGCACTCAAAATCTTAATGCCAAACTCCAAATGAAGATTATGCATTATTGAGCAATAACTTGTAATTAAAGATTAATAAATATTTCTCTTCCTTTAAATATTTTTATTAGCTGTTGAGGTAATAAACTTTTACATGTAACTAGGTTTAACAGATGGGAAGCAATTCCTTTCTTTTCTTTAGTTCTTTAGAGAAGCAGTCCTTTTTGTAAGAACATAACACCATAAGTAATACTCTACTGGATCTGATTCTCGCCCTTTGGTTCTCATGGCGACCAACTAATTGCACAATGAAGCCCACTCATCTCCTAGCAGGCTTTTAGAATCAGTCACGCTTCCATTAGTGCTAGTTGCCATTGATCACCAAAATTTCCATAAACTAGTCCATAATCCTTTTTTGAAACCAGCCCTTCCTTTTTCTTAGAAGAGTAATTCATAAAAAGGGTAATACTATAATGGGGAGTGGCTGTCTCTGAAAATTATCTACTGGGATGTTATGGGCTTCCATGTACAATTGATTGTGAGTTCAGACTGCTGAACTAAATAGACCAGGGTTCTGCTCCATAAGCAGCACGCAGCTTATGTTCTTAGTTTCTTAGATATCAAGTGGGTGAGTATATAAATTCAAATAATAAATAAAGCATGTGCAGAGAGAATAAGGTTTTTTTCTGCCTCTTCTTTTTGTAAGAACATAACTTAAGTAACACTCTATTAGATCCAATTCTGGTCCTCTCTTTTACTCATGGATCTCTTGCAATCATCACTCTCTCAAAATCTGCTTTTCATTTTTATAACATTTATTTAAACTTTTATATTTTACCTTTTTGATGCACATTAAAAGGCAACTAAAAATCACAAAAATATAGTACCCTTCAAAGAAATTACTTTTAATCATTACGTGTCAAGTGCTGGATCAGGAACTTCAAGGTCTGTGTAAGGACCCACTTCAACTAACCCTCCAAGAAAGCAGAACTCTTGAAAGAGGCATTGTCTCAAAAGGATACTTTTATTATGGGTCAATGATAGTAGGGAAGTCAATGCGAGATCTGGGGAAAACCCCCTGCAAACGGTATAGTTAAGCTAGCAATATTCCTCCTCCCACCAAAGTCATAATGTCAATTTGAAATCCAGCCAATCCACAGGTGGCATGAAGCCTGGCTGGCTGGTACAGTTGGCATGCATCTCAAGGTCTTCTCCAGCTTTCTCTGTAACCGTCTCCCTGATAAGAGAGACACATTCCTTTCTCAAGATGATAGAGGCAGGAGAGGGGAAGTAGAAGGTGAAAGTTATCCTGAGCAAAAGCATGGTTCCCCCCCCCCAGCAGAATGGCAGGGCCAAAAGTAGAATAACTATGCAGGAGAAACAGTGAGGATTTGGGGACCTGACAGTCTGACATGAAAAGAGTTGCAGTATTTGGAGCCATATGGTTGGTTGAGTGATTCTGTTTAACGAGGGGTAACACTGAGCTGGTAAGATTTGGGGGCAACTGTCAAAAATCCAGCTATTGGTGATGTATCAAGGTCATCAGGACCACCCAATGGCTTCAGAGTAAAATGCTGCAAAATAGTTGTCAGGACAACAAATATTACGATGTCTGCCAATTTCTTGCCTAGACAAACCCGTTTGCCTGCAAGCAAGAATAAAGAAACAATAATTTATTTGTGACAGCTTGCTTAAAAAAGTAAAATGTCCAACAATGGGGTATCAAATGGAACAAACTTAATATGGGGGAAGCCCCAGTCATTTACTAGCTATTTTTGACATTTAAGATAATTCTTTCTGCATTCATTTGGAAATATGTTTGGCTGCTTTTCTATTTTTGCTTTCCAAAAATGTGACTAAAATATGCATTTGATCTTGAAAACCATAAGCATTAATATGAGTTCCTCCCTTGATTTCAGCTATAATATTAGGATATTTTTACCTGTGGAAAAAGGAATGAAGAATTCACTCTTTCTCAGAGCTCCCTTTTTGTCCAAGAAGTGCCCAACATCAAATTGTTGTGGGTTAGGGAATTCTCTACTGTCATACAAAGAGGACTTCAGAGCCAGAAATATAGTAGTTCCCTAGTTAGACAATAACAAGTTCAATGCTGAAGAGATTCTTTTTCAAGAAAGAGAGAGAGAGAAAAACATTGTGGCAGAAATGCATATACATCAAGATAAGTCCATCTTTGTGCTAGAATAGTTGATTTGAGGATTGATACCCCTCTAAAACCAATAATATATGTCACTGATGCTTTGATACGCATTCTAGAATGATTATGACTATAACCAGCAGAATTCTTATCCAGCATAACCAACAGAGAATTGTGGGAGTTTAAGCTCAACCAGCACGGTGTATACCAAGTTGGAATGTTATTATTCTGAGATAATTAAAATTG